GCTTATTTATACACGATGTCACAGTAGTCAAGTAGAGGCAGTATGGTAGCTTTTATCAATTCCAAACGGAACATTGGGGAGAAGCAGTGCTTGTGTCGATACAGAAAACCAATTTATATTTTTGTCTTTTTACCAATATAATCAATGTGATCTTAAAAATTCAGCTTTGAATCCAGGATGACCCCAAGATACTTATAGATCTTGACTTGCTCTATTTGATAATTATTTAAGGAATGTAATTGGAGAAAAAAAACTTCCTGCTTTAGTCCTGGTGAGAAGCATAGCACCTTGGTTTTGGAGGTATTCAGGACTAGTTTAAGAGCAACTAGCTGATGTTGTAGTTTATTGAAATCACCCTGTAGCTTAGCAGTCACGTCATCCGGAGAGCGGCCAGCAGTAATCAGTATCGTGTCAGTATAGTATAAGAGGGTCGCGTAGAGTGTAGTGCATAGTAGTGTTGTAGAGTAAAGTAGTGTTGTAGTGTATAGTGTAGTGTATAGTCGTGTAGTGTATAGTGTATACTAGTGTAGTATATAGTGTAGTGTATTAGTGTAGTCTGTAGTGTAGTGGAGAGTAGTGTAGTGCATTATGGAGTGGAGAAATGTAGCCTATAGTGTAGTGTATATCGTAGTGTAGCAGTGTATAGTATAAGAGTGTCGAGTAGAGTGTAGTGCATAGTAGTGTTGTAATGTATAGTGTAGTGTAATGTACAGTGTATAATAGTGTAGTGTATAGTCGTGTAGTGTATAGTGTAGTGTATTAGTGTAGTCTATAGTGTAGTGAAGAGTAGTGGAGTAGTGTCGTGCATAGGATAGTCCATAGTGTAGTGTATAGTGTAGTGTTAAGTGCAGTTTGTAGTGTCGTGTATAATAGTGCATAGTAGTGTAGTATATAGTATTGTAGTGCAGAGTAGTGCAATGGATATTACTGTATAGTAGTGTAGTGTATAGTGTAGTGTATAATGTAGTGTATAGTATAGTGTAGCAGTGTGGTGTATAGTGTAGTGGATAGTAGTGGAGTGTATAGTAGTGCATAGTATAGTGTATAGTATTTTATAGTAGTGTAGCGTATGTGTAGTGTATAGTAGTGTGATGTATAGTAATGCATAGTCTTGCATAGTCTATATTATTGTATTGTATAGTAGCCTATAGTAGTGTATAGTGTAGTGTATAGTAGTGCAGTTTATACTGTAGTGGTGTATCGTGTGTTGTATAGAGCGGTGTCGTGTATAGTAGTGCAGTAGTGTATAGTAGTGTAGTGTATTGCGTAGTGTATAGTAGTATAGTGTATAGCGTAGTGTATAATGGTTTAGTGTAGCGTATAGTATAGTGTAAAGTAGTGTATAGTAAAGTGCACAGTAGTATAGTGTCGCGTGTAGTGTATAGTGTAGTGTATGGTATATTGTAGTGTATAGTCAACACTACACTACCATACACAATACACTACACTCAGAGCCGGATTAAGATGTTGTAGGCCCCTGGGCTACAGGCACTGTGAGGCCCACAGTTATCATTTCAAAAGGAAAAAAGTTAATGGAAAATACATTTAATTTTTACAAGGCTAACAACAAATAAAGTTCACCATTAACGAAATAAATATTTTTTTACTTCGTCTCTGGAGGCGCTCCAGCTGGCTGAGGCCCCTGGGCTGCAGCCCCTAAAGCCCCGTGCCTTAATCCGGTCCTGACTACACTATACACTACACTATACACTACACTATACACTACACTATACACTACACTATACACTACACTATACACAACACTATACACTACACTATACACTACACTATACACTACACACTACACTATACACAACACTACTATACACTACACTACTATACACTACACTATTCACTACACTATACACTACACTATACACTACACTACTATACACTACACTATACACAACACTACTATACACTACACTACTATACACTACACTATACACTACACTATACACTACACTACTATACACTACACTACTAAACACTACGCAAGCTCACTAACAAACCGTGTTGCCCACAGAACTCTCCACAGGGAGGACATCGCTCGTTGCTGCGATTGTAAGAGGCACATTTACAACATGGGCTCAGAACAGAGCAAAGGTGAACTACAAACTACACATACAGTCTATGTCTCTTGTTGAGTCTATGGGTAGTGTTGAGTCTATGGGAAGTGTTGAGTCTATGGGTAGCAGTGTTGAGTCTATGGGTAGTGCTGAGTCTATGGGTAGTGTTGAGTCTATGGGAAGTGTTGAGTCTATGGGTAGCAGTGTTGAGTATATCGGTAGTGTTGAGTCTATGGGTAGCAGTGTTGATTCTATGGGTAGTGTTGAGGCAATGGATAGTGTTGAGTCTGTGGGTAGTGTTGACTCTATGGGTAGTGTTGAGTCTATGGATAGTGTTGAGTATATGGGCAGTGTTAAGTATATGGGTAGTGTTGAGTCTATGGATAGAAGTGTTGAGTCTATGGGTAGAAGTGTTGAGTCTATGGGTAGTGTTGAGTCTATGGGAAGTGTTGAGTCTATGGGGAGCAGTGTTGAGTCTATGGGTAGTGTTGAGTCTATGTGCAGTGTTGAGTCTATGGATAGCAGTGTTGAGTCTATGGGCAGTGTTGCATCTATGGATATCAGTGCTGAGTCTATGGGTAGCGTTGAGTCATGGGTAGCTGTGTTGAGTCTATGGGTAGCTGTGTTCAGTCTATTGGTGGTGTTGAGTCTATGGGTAGCTGTGTTCAGTCTATTGGTGGTGTTAAGTCTATGGCTAGTGTTGAGTCTATGAATAGCAGTGCTGAGTGTGTGTGATTATGTGTAATGTTGTTTGACGTGTTTGATTGTGTGTGGTGGTGTGTAATATGCGTAATGATGGTGTGTGTGATGATGTGTGATGTCTGTGATGATGACGTGTGACGTGCGTGACGTGTCGACGATGCGTGACGAGTGTATGATGATAATGTGTGTGGGGTGTTATTTTACAGGGCAGGCGAAATCAACCTTCAACCAAACACGTGAGACTCATGGCCTCAACTGCGCGATCTGCGAGGGCATCTTCTACGACCCCGTGTTCCTACCGTGTGGCCACACTTTCTGCCGCATTTGCTTCGACGTCCACTGGCAGCTGGAACGAACGCGGAGGAAATGCCCCTGCCCACAGCGGGCGTGCAAACTGCGCTGGGAGTGGAAGCCGCATTTGCGGATGGACGAGGAGCTGAGCGCGGAGGCGGAGCGAGCGAGGCAGAGCCTCGTGTCGACGCAACTTGGCGGCGATGGACCGCCGTGGGAGCGAAACGTGGAATGGGTGAGTTTGGTCGGAACGCCATTCCTTCCGATATGCTTGAGGTCGGTGAGGTTCCGATCCCGGAACCCTGACGATGACCTGGCCACTGCTGTATATGTGGAGTCTGCGTCTCTCTATCTCTCATCATCATCACAGTGGCCCAGGAGATGTTAACTACCTCGCCTGGTATGCGGGAGGTCGTGGGTTCAAACCCAATGCCTGGCTGCTGCATAGTTGGAATTTGCAGCTCAGTGGGGCCTTACACCTGGCAACATAAACATCGTTTAGTTTTAGTATGGGTCTCTATTTATCTCTCTGGGTCTCTGTGTATCTCTATTATCTCTATGCATCTCTATTTATCTCTATGGATATCTATGTATGTATGGGTCTCTATGGGTCTCTGTATATCTTTGTGTCTCTCTATGGATATATGTATCTTTACGTATCTCTATGGGTCTAGACGTGTCTCTATGGGGCTCTACGTATCTCTATGGGTCTTTTCGTGTCTCTATGATTCTCTACGTATCTCTGTGTCTCTACATATCTCTATGGGTCTCTACGAAGTGTCGTACGCTCACTGGCAATATGTCACGGGACCCTGCAGGTGCCATGGGGTGACCGACTGAGATGACTTAGAAATAAATCACCAGCTGTACCCCCTACTTGCCCACTCACACACCACACTCACTCACCCACTCACCAGATCATCCACACACATCATACCATGGTTGACTAATAAGAAGCCATCCCTTGACCAGACCCGGGCATTGATCAGCCTCCAATTGCATCTGTATCAGAGGGAAAATCCACCAGGACATCTGTGGAAATCTTCAGAACAGAAAATGGCTCCGACATCCAGTCACACAACTTTACCCGGGCCTGACCACCATCATGAAGGTTCTTAATGATTGTGAGTAGATGGTATTGGAATCTGAAAGCACGAAAAAGAACCCAGAGCCCAGACCTACTGATGGTATCATAGGCCTTGACCAGGTCAATAAAGCAGAGATGTAGGTCTTGTTTAAATTCCCTACACTGCTGCTGTAGTAGACAAACAGAAATTATGGCATCTGTGCAGGACCGCCCTTTCCTGAAACCGCACTGGGGCTCTGCAGAGCCTCTCCTCAGCGTGCCTAGCAAGGCAATGCTGAATAATCCTTACCATGTCCTTTCCCGGCACACTGAGGAGTGAGATGCCTCTGTAGTTGTTACAGTCTGTGCGGTCCCCCTTCTTAAAGAGGGGACCACCAGGGCATACTTCCAATCCTGCGGAACCCGTCCAGTCGTTCACACTGTTGTTATGATGTCATGTCGGGCAGTCTGTCCACAAACGCCACCCTCCCTCAGCATTTCACTTGGGAGATCATCTCTGCCCGGTGCCTTTCCTGGTCTCAGACTCTGGATCGCCTTCAGTACTTCCTCAACAGATTGCACCTCAGCCAGCCACTCACAGGAGATGACTTCTTCTTCCACCTCCCCAAACACACAGAGGCACACAAAGACAAAGACACACACACTGGGTGAACACGTTTCAAAGGGCACTCCGAAAGGGTTACGACTTTGCGTGATTACTTGTCATGATGCCACTGTCACATTTCAATGCCTTTGCATTCCCACATCTCCCCCCTCCACCTTTTGTTGCTGTCGTCAACATTGTCATTTACCGCTAACAGTCCCGAGCGAGCAGGAAACTCGCAGAGACATTTCCCGAATGGAGGGCGAAGAGGATTGAGGTCTTGAAGATGCTCGCCGGCATGATCGTTAAGCTGAGGAAGAGGAAGCGCGATGGCAACATCTCCAAGGTGACCGGCTCTTCTGCGGGCATCGCTGGTGGCATCATGCTCATCACGGGCTTTGCCCTCATCCCGGTGACCTTCGGCGCATCTCTGGGCCTCAGCATCGCCGGCACCGCAATGGGGGTTGCCGGAAGCATCACGGCCGCGGGGGCTTCGATCGCCGTTACTGTGATGAACAAAGCCTCGACCAAGGAGGCGACAGAAAATATTGAGAAGGATAAAATTGCCGGCGAGAAGCTCGCCAAAGTGGTGGAGTCAGTTTCCTCGGCGGCGAGCGAGTTTGAGGTTGTTACCATGGGCACGCTGCTGGCCAAGAGGGTGTGCGCCAAAGGAGGCACAGAAGCGCCCGTGGACACCGCGGAGACAGCCAAAGTCGCCGTGGGTGGAATATTTGCCGCAGGCGGCACGGTGAAAGGGGTGGTGAACATCGTCAAAAATTCAAAGGCGTTGGTGAAAGTGGCCACGACCGGCGCCATCGTCGCTGACGACGTCGCCTCAGCAGTGGTGAAGGGCGCGGTGAGAGGCGGCTTGCGGATAGCCGGGGTCGCGGTGATCTCCCTGTTACTTGTCGTCGACGTGGTCAGCCTGATCCGGACCGGGGTCGAATTGCACAAGGATAACCCGTCAGAGACAGAAGCGCACTGGCAGGAGACGTACGACGACTTGAAGTTGCATCTGATCAGCATGGAGAAAATCAACGATTATGCCCAGAGAATTAGGAAATAGATGACGGGTATCCACCCCCTCGATACGTACAGCAAGGTCTCAGAGTACATGATGGGGGCTCAGCGTACACGGTTCCCGCTCATACCACGACCGACCACCCCCGATTTGTACTTACACTTGTACCCGTATCACCCGCGCAAGACACGAGTCCACTCAGCTATAGCATCTTTCATATTGTTCATATACAGTAGAGTACACTCATATAGTAATATAGTAGTATAATTATACAGTAGTATATAGTAATATACAATAATATAGTAGTATATAGTAATAGTAGTAATATACAATAAAATATTTGTATATAGTAGGAAACTGATATAGTAATATAGTGAGAATTTTATTGTGTTATTTAATTATTTTATTCTCATTCTATGTGACTTTACCGAAATAACCAAAGAAGAGTAATATAGTAGTATAGTAATATAGCAGTATATAGTAATATAGTAGTATATAGTAATATAGTAGCATATAATAGTTTAGTAATATAATAGTATAGTAATATAGCAGTATACAGCAGTATAATAATATAGTAGTAAAGTAATATAGTAGTATATAGACATATAGTAGTATATAGTAGTATGGTAATACAGTAGTATATAGTAAAATAGTAGTATAGTAATACAGTAGTATATAGTAATATAGTAGTATATAGTAATACAGTAGTATATAGTAATATAGTAGTATATAGTAGTATAGTAATATAGTAGTATAGTAATATAGTAGTATATGGTAATATAGTAGTATATAGTAATATAGTAGTATATAGCAATATAGTAGTATATAGTAATATAGTAGCATATAGTAGTTTAGTAATATAATAGTATAGTAATATAGCAGTATACAGCAGTGTAGTAATATAGTAGTAAAGTAATATAGTAGTATATAGACATATAGTAGTATATAGTAGTATGGTAATACAGTAGTATATAGTAATATAGTATATAGTAGTATAGTAATACAGTAGTATATAGTAATATAGTAGTATATAGTAATACAGTAGTATATAGTAATATAGTAGTATATAGTAATACAGTAGTATATAGTAATATAGTAGTATATAGTAGTATAGTAATATAGTAGTATAGTAATACAGTAGTATATAGTAATATACTAGTATATAGTAGTATAGTAATATAGTAGTATATAGTAATACAGTAGTATATAGTAATATAGTAGCATTTAGTAATATAGTAGTATATAGTAGTATATGAATATACTAGTATATAGTAATATATACTACTATATTCATTAATTGAACAGACCAAACTGTTTTCCTTATAATCCTCTGCTGCTAGACCACCCAGATTTTACAGCTCATCAAAAATCAATAAAGAAGGTACAGCCCTTCATCCCATTGTCTCCACCATTGGCTAACCCACCTACAAGACCTTGAAGCCATTCACTGGTAAGACCACCTCAGCTGTACTTAACTCAGCTCACTTGGTATCGTCAATTAAAGACATCTCACGGTACCCAGGTAATTTGCCTGTTAGTTTCGATGTAGTTTCTTTGTTCACCAAAGTTCCTGTGCCCGATACCATTGCAATCGTTTAAGTTCTGGTCCAACAAGGATTGAATGCTGATGTACCAGCTCTAGTGAAACACTGCCTCACCAACACTTACTTCACCTGGAATGGAAATTTCTACAAACAAGTTGAAGGCACCCCAATGGGTTCTCCCTTATCTCCAATTGTCGCTAATGTTTTCAAGGAAAAATATGAGACAGACACCATCCAGGCATCCACTCTATGTCCGTCCTTGTGGAAGAGGCACGTAGATGACACGTTCGTCATCTGGCCACATGGTCGACCGGCTCTGAACCAATTCCTCAACCACATCAATTCCATCCACCCAGCCATTAAATTCACCATAGACACACACATATATAATTTAGACTACTGTATAGGCACACATATATAATGTAGACATGAATGCATAGACACACACATATATACTCTGAGACATTACTGTATATAGTGAGACCTCACTGTATATATAGACGGCGAGACCTTGATGCATATACAGTGAGACCTAACTGCATATGTACAGTGAGACCTTTCTGTATTCATATATACTCTGAGACATTTATATATACAGTGAAACCTCACTGTATATATAGTGAGACCTGACTGAGACATTACTCTATATATACAGTGAAATATTACTGTCTATGCATAGACAGCGAGACCTCACCGTATAGACGCGAATTGGCTGCATTCTTCAGGAACCGCGTGTAAATACGCACTTTTAGCAAGCCGTAAATTTGCTTTTTCCTGATTGATTTAGAACGAGACAATCAGGGCTGTGACGTGAGACCATTGTGTAGCTGCTCTCCTCGAGCTGTCAATGCCCTGAGACGTGTGGCATGGTCCTTGTACTGGTTGCCTTTTGGCGTCGTTCTCTGGTCTAACACTGCTGGTGGAGACTAGGCCCTAAAGAAGTCTGCTGCTTCTGGTGTAGGCCAATCAGTTACAGAGACAATGCCTTGTAACATTGTAGTTACATTAATAAATTATTAGAGGCAATGTCTACTAAGTAATAATATATTTTACTGGTCTTCTGACACTGGTAGTGAGACACTGGTAGTGAGACTAGGCCCTAAAGAAGGCTGCTGTCTCTGGAGTAGGCCAATCAGTTACCAATGTAATGGGTTCAATCAGGGCGCACATTGGAACTTGGAGGCAACACGTTTAATTAACCAACATCACGTAACCCTTAACGGAATAACAACCTAAGGTGGTAACCCACCATTCATCCACTTAGCTAGGTACACTTGGAGTAGATGGCTATTAACATTCTGGTCGGGGCGACTACAAGTCGGACAAAGCCAGCCAACACGCTGTCCACAAGCGTGACGCCCGGAGTCCAGCCAGGACGAAGCCCGGTCCCCCGCCCCCGGAGCTCAGCCTTTATCCTTACGGTGTGACCAGGCCCCGCCCTTGGCCACGCCTCTTTTCCCGATCCTTCGTGAGGGTTCAGGACCTACATCACGTGTTCCTCAACCCTGCCCCCCCCCCCCCCCCCCCGTTCACACCACATCTGGTCACGTGCCCCTTCCTGTTTTCCCAGCCTCTCCTGGTATGATTTTTTTTATTTGAAGCTTTCATGACTGCAGGAATCCATACTCTTTGGTTCTTTCGATAAAGCTAAGTAGGTATACAATAAAATAATTCACGACGTTTTGGGCACAATACAATCGTCGCTTGCTTTCCCACCTGATGACGGACGCTTGCTTTGCACCCGAAACGTGATTTATTTTACTTTAAACCTACGTAACTTTACCGAAAGAACCAAAGAGTATGGTCCCCTGGTGTGCTCATCCGGTTCCCGGGAGAAGCTCCGCCCCTACAGTACTACCAACACTGTCTCTACACAACGGTACTCACATCAATAACACTACACAAAGACAATGTCACCTAACATTACAGTTACATTATCATTAAATGCATTGTAGGCCATTCAGTTACAAAGTCACTGCCATCAATATATGGCCAGAGCCATGGATTTTGTTTGTCTGGTCACCGCAAGTTCCGTGCGGTGGTCAATGCATAAACTTGATTCCTTGCAAAAGGTTTATGTTTGGTGTTTGAACATCTAAACAGACCTCCTGCTGTTTCACTACCGCCAGAGAGGGTACACAGCACCCACTCTTAGCTGTTCACAATGAGCGGTGCATTTCGAATAATCATTACAAACTCTACGCCTAACCCCAACAGCAACAACATCAAAATACAGGGTGCTTCAACATTTTTGTAAACACTTATATTGGAAAATCGTTTTTAATGCACTGTAACTGATAACAAATGTAATGTTAACAGCTTCAAAGAGTAAAAAATTAAAACTTTCGTGACTGCATTAATTACTCATTTTTTTTTTTCGGTAAAGTCACGTATGTAGAAATACCATAAAATTATATTAAAATAAATAAATCATGACGTTTTGACCACAACACAAGCGATCTTCATCAGGTGTAAAAAACATACAGCACATAGGGTGACATCAACGCAACACACAGAGAGCGTTAAACTGCACAGAGGTAAATACAACAAGAAGATGAGAGACGAGAATTCAACAAACCTAAGAAAAATGTACGTGATGCAAAACCAGTCGGCCAACGACACAGTTAGACACTTGCATGGCAGACCACGAATTTCAGAAGAGTGCTAAATTTCGTGTTCATCCTCTGGGTTGAACATACCAGCATAGACAGAGTGAACAAATACGAGGTACAAGATAGCAGAAACACAAACACAGGGGGTAAGAAGGGGAAAGACGGACAGAGAAGCAAGAAAAAGGGGCTGGAGGGATGAGCAGAGGCTTAAAATAGGCAGTAGAGGTGGGGAGAGGGGCCGAAGAAAGCAAGGGGCACGGCAGCAGCAGAAGAGGGGGGAGGGGCAGGAAAATGTAAGGGGGCGCAATAAGTTTAGGGCAGAATTGTAAAGGTAACTTCCCCGTAGAAGTGTGTTAATAAAGAATTGAAGCTTTCGTGACTGCATAAATTACTCATTGGTTTTCTACTTTACCGAAAAAAAACAGAGCTTGGAGGTGGCACATTTCTCGTGGTGTTGTTCTACATTCTCCGAAGTGTTCACATTTTTTTGAAGCACCCTGTATATACACACCGCCTATATCACTGTCCACACTTACATATTAAAACGATTAAATAATCATTAATTCACAACCAAAAATAATAATTACATACACGTGTACACCCACCCACACACATGTGTACACACACAAACACTCACATGTACACCCACACACACGTATACACACACAAACACTCACGTGTACAGACAACAACAACAACAACCGCCATTCGCCACTAAGTCGCGGTGACGTCACCACGACGCTTGTGCCAGGACAAATGCACCGTGAGGCCACGTGAAGTGTCGAACGCCCGCTGGCAGGAGGTCACGGGGCAGACCCAGGTGCCACGGGTCGACTGACTGAGATGACTGAGATGACTGGCTGATGCACCACCTGTGCCCCCTACTGTGCCAACTTGCTCTGCTTTAGCCACCCGGCGCTCCGCTCGTTGTTGTGAGCGTCGCTCCTCCGCCCTCCATTGTTGTTGGAGGGCGACTGCCTCCAACTGCCCAGTAGCGTCCTTCACGAGCCTCCTCCACAGAGGCCGATCTTGACACCGCT